CTCCTCTCACAAGGTCATTCTCCTTTATAGTGCGTCATGAAAGAGATTCTCAGCTAAATGAACAGACCTAATGCAGTAACATATGTTCATCCCCTATCTCCAAACACCAATGCTTTTCACATTTTCTCATATAGTCCCACATAAAGCCCCTTGGAGACTGAGAGAGACTCACTTCTTTAGTGCCCGTTTGAAATTAAAAAGGTTTGACTCTAGTTTCTGTCCGTGCTGTGAATTTAATTACACAGGTTCTACCTCTGGGATGTACCTGAGGAATTCAATCCAAAAAAATGTAGTCTTCCATGCACAAGCAGGCAGAGGATTGGTGTTGAAAAATGAATGTGTAAGTGGATGACAGCCGAGACATCAAGTGAAGGAAAATATGTTTCGCCAGAGGAACAACAATGACTTAAATTACAGGCTGATTACTGTATACAATTCATTTCCATATAAATGTATTTCTCCCTCCGAGCAATCAGGGTCACTCAAATAAATATAAACACACCATGTACTCTCCAGAGTTTGATCGTTCTATACATTTCAAAATCAGAAAAGAAACATTGACAGAAAGATAAACCTGTGTATGAATACACACATTCAGTTCAAAATGAGGAGATTCTTTCCTTTTTTCGGTTTCATCTGTTTGTTGCTTCTGCTTTCTTTCTTCCTCAAACACACACACACGAACACACACACACATACACACAAACCTGTAACATAAAGTACAAAGAATGTTCAAGTGATGTTCAAAACACTCAGGGACGCTGTGTGAATGCTGTTTTCTACTTATTTCTCACAAACATTGAAAACAGGCTGCAGCTTTTTATATGTGAAAATGTTGCATCATCACCGCATCTGTGTGTGTTTGTTTTGTGTTTACAGTTCTGTGTGTGTGTGTGTATGTTTGTGTTTACAGTTCTGTGTGTGTGTGTGTGTGTGTGTGTGTGCGTGTGCGTGTGCGTGTGCGTGTGTGTGTGTGAGAGAATCATGCACACACATTGTCCAAAAGTATAACACGGTGGGAGGAGCCTTTTTCTATTCATGGATGGGTACATTATCTTTTTGAAAAAGAGACCCTGTAGATGAGGAGTTCTCTCAGTCTTGAAATAAAATGCCAAACTGAATAACTGTATTTTGCACCTGCTGCATATATCATGACCTTTTTCAAAAATAGTTTCATACAATTTTTCATTTAAGATTTATTACAGTAATTGTATGTTCTTTTAATAATGTTGTGTTGTTATTCAGTGTTTTCTACAGGAAAACGTGGTGCGTATACTTGTTTATATAAAGCATGCAGGATGAGATTCACTGAAGCAGTGCCTGCAGCATGGCTCATCAGTTCAGTTTGTTTGTTGCAACAATATTTATTGAATAATCAAATGAAAAACCTAAAAGTGATTAAACAGTGAGCACTGACGTCTGCAGAGTCAAGAACTCCACAATACACACATACATGATCATGCATTTCATTATGATTTATCTCCCCATGGTGGATTTTATTTACACTCTTCTCCAACCAAATCTCAACCTTCTGTTTTGACATGAGCACAGTATCTGTCACTCACACTGATGTGACATCAATGGTTTGTTTTCCCCGCCTCTGATAACCTGATACATTACTAAACTTCTGGTGGAACTGGGCCCAGGAGGAGGGTCCCAGTTTGAATGTTTTGTTTACAAACTGCAACGAACATTTACACTGACTCTAGCTAAGAAAAACCATGAACCTGTTCACGCCTGCGCTCCTAAACTGATGAATGCCATGTCCTTGTAAGCTGCAAACTTCTGCATATGGTCTGTAATAAGCATAGGTGAACGCCCCTGCCCATAAAAGAGCATGTGATTACATTTTAAAGGGGACATATTATAAAAAATCCGCTTTTACAGTATTTTTGAACATATATTTGGATAACCTGAGTGTCTACCATCCAGTCCTTTGTTTGTGGTCTGAATAAGTCTTACAACACAGAGAAAAATGCTCCGTCTTAAATTTGCACTCCTTGGGACATCACAAATTGGATTCTGGTTAAAAAAATAGCCTCCCCCTCCCCTGATATCTCCACCCATGGATTCCACCTCCAGCCTATAGCCACACTTTTGAGCAGGTCGTCCATTTTTATTCTCGCTACAGAGGAGTAATTTCTACGGGGAAAACTCAGGGGGCTCATTGCATTTAAAGAGACACACACACCAAGACAGAGCGTTCTGAGAGAGCTGGTTTATACAGGGTCACAAACCTCCTCTGGTGCTTGATTCATGTTATATTTTGATCAAAGCACAGCACAGATGTTTCATTTAGACCACAGGGGACTGTTTTTGAAAAGGTGGAAAAGGGGGTTAATATGTCCTCTTTAAGACAAATATATGTGGTTTTGTCTCTTCATCCCTTTTCCGCATGTTTTTCTGTCACGCTCCATTGTGACTGACACGGTAAAGTGTGACTGCCTGAGAGGACAATGACCAAAGTAATGTGATGTTTAGCGTCCCAATTTCAAGCAGTTGTACCCCGCAGGCAGAAGTGTGCTCTTTTAACACGGGGGTAGGTGTATATAAAGCCCTGGAGTATACTTCACTTCAGCAAGTCAAGAAGTGAAACAGTTAGAGTTCAGGCAAAAATCACTTGTTTTTATAAGTCATTCTGAAAAAGAAAACAACTTGAGACATTGAAACTGGTATATTCTTCAATCAGCATACTTTATTTAAACTATAAATGTATGCCCCAGAAGTTCTGGATGAATAAATGCAGGATAAAAACCATGTAAATAATAGTTTGGTGGATACTAAGAGGCCACAGAAACAAGTGTGAAATCTTCGGAAGGTGACTTATTTGAAAGACAATAGCTATGATGTGTCACACACGTTGCACTGTTACAAATTGTCTGTGGGTGGAAATGCTCCTCAAAGGTCTGGAAGAATAAACGGGCTGCCAGTCAACAGACCCACTTTGCCTTTGTTTGTACTCACTTCAAACAATGCAGCATCACAGGAAATCGCCGGAGACAAAAGAACTTTTCTGAAGGTCCTTTTTGGCGGCTCCTTGAAAGCAGCTGTGATGGAAGAAAAACATTGGAAGTCATTTGAAGATGACAAGCTGCCATAAACATCTCACCGGAGGCTCACCAAAAACATCCAACCTCCCTCTCTACATCAAGGATTTTTGTTTTTCACTCATGCTTTGACCTGGACACTTACAATTTATCACAGAGGGATCAAATGGGATTTAGAGTGAAACAAAAACAAAAACTATGGACTGAAAATGCATTTTAAGTCCTTTAAGATTTCTGTTTCCTCATGCTGACGGGTATGAGATGTGGCTACGCAACAATTTTGCAAGAAATCATGACACCCTTTATTTCAGGCCTACCCATTACAGTTTTTCCCAATTGCTAACACACTAAAATGACATGCATAGCACAATTATTTAAACTGACACACAGAGAGCAAAACCTCTTCTCAAGTCTCCAAAAGTCTAAACACATTTTCTGCTTTACACACGTTTTGCAATTCAAAAGGGCACTTTTTAAATGCACTGAACACGGTTCTCTGCACAAGACACAACATGTTTGCCATTTCAAAATACTGCCATTCAAAATGACACTACATGAGCTAATTGGCCAATGTATGTGCCACCTGGCCAAACACCTCAATGGTTTACAACAACAATGGAAGACGTTGCAGAGAGAGGAAGAGGAAGAGGGAGGGTGAGAATGAGAGGGGGAGGAGAGTGAGAGGTAGGAGTAGAGCTGGTAGAGGAGTTCATGGCCAAAGAAGAAAACAACTTTCAAATGAAATCAGAGCAACCTTAGTTGATCATGTCATCAACCATGGGCTGACAATGCGAGAGGCTGGACAGAGAGTGCAGCCCAACTCAAGCCGTTTTACTGTACTGGTATATGTAGCACTGACTTGTTTGGTGAAAAATAAAAAAATAAATGTTTCAACAGCATGTGTGTGTAGCTGCAAATATTTCTGTGCATGTGAACAATCTGAAGAATTTTCTACAATTCAAACTATGTTAGTATTATGGCAAAGCATACTAAAGATGAGAGTGCTTTTCATTATGCCCAACAGTGTGTAGTTGGTTAGACAAAAATCTGGTAATATGAATGAAGTGTGTGCCATTTGGTGCAAAAGTTTGATTTTGATAATGTTATGTGTAGTTTTGGTTGCAGTGCTTCATTTTGCAGGATATATGAGGTATTTTGAAGTTTGGGTGTGTGGTTTTGTGAATTGAAGTATTTTGATAAAACCAGCCTAGTTTGCAAAATTATGTTTTAGCAATTGGAAAAAACTGTAATATTTTAGGATTTTAAATCGTGAACAAATGCAGGTAACCATTTAAGTATAAAGTTTTAAGGTGGGGGAATTTCCTTATGTGTACAGTAGGCTAAGTGTTATTGTAAAATGCACAGTATGTCAATTCTGCCACCAGGGGGCTCTTCATCAAAACAGGACCAAAAGATGAAGTCAAGGCTGGGAGGGACTCATGGGAGTGATTATTTCTTCTACTCCCGCCTCTGCCCCTGATGAAAACGAACTCCAAGTCGACAGTGGTCAACATGACCGGGCGAAACCGACCTGAGGAAGAGAATATGTTTACCGTTGATGCATCCAAGTATAATTAACATGAAGTTTTTATCAAAGCAGCACATACAGCAACAGTGGCAGCCCAGGACACAGCTGGCCTTCTTCACCAGTTTGTTTAGTCTGTTCCTGTCTGCAGCCGTGATGCTGCTGCTCCAGCAGACCACTCCGAACAGGACGGCTGATGCCACCACAAAGTCCTTGACAAGGGTTTCAGCCTGCATTAGGTTTTGTTTTGTGTTTTGCAAATTTAATATTATTTTCCTGGGGTTTGTTGTGTTTTGGTTTTAACCCTTGTCTCTGTCTTTCAGATCCCCCCTCTTGTCCCCGCCTTGTGTGTCAGCTCCGCCCTGATTAACCTCACCTGTGTCTCGTTGGTCCCTGATTGTCTGTGTATTTACTCCCTGTGTGTTCTCCCTCCTGATGCCAGTTCGTTGCGTTCTCTGTGTTCCCTCGTTCCAGCATTATTATTGATTTTGATCTTCGTGTATGACCCTCGCTGCCGTTTTGACCTTGCCTTGCCTAGCCCTCTGGATTTGTTTATTATTACCTTCTCGTGTACCGAACTCTGCCTGGATGAAAGGACTGATTTATAACTCTACCTCTGAGTCTGCGTTTGCTCCATACCGTGACCTGAGTCTCCTCAGAAGGTGAAGTCTGCTCTGGCCTTTCTCATAGAAAGCTTGTGTGTTATCAGACCAGTCCAGCTTATTGTTCAGATGAACACCCAGGTACTTACAAGAATCCACTGTCTCAATTTCCTTTCCCTGAATGTTCACCGGCGTGTGTTAGATGGGTGTGCGCCATGTTTATAATAATTTTATAGCCAGTTTGAAGCCATAACTCGTAGGTTACCATGGTGATGTAGCCAGCTTCATGATACAGAAAAGTCTGACTTTGTTCAATAGACCTTGATTACCCTCTTATCACCCCGCCCCCCGCTCCTCATGTGGAGTGTCCTGGATAACTTTGTTGGGGTTTGGCCCTATGCACAAAAACTGATTTATAGTCTTGGCATTGGTGTTCTATAACTATCCCACAGTATATATGCATCGCATTATTCTGCACTGTAAGTGAATGTCTGCGTTTGATTAAAATCCCGTCTATACTGTATGTATAAATGCTCCCTCCACTTTGTCCACCCTGCAAGCCCCCTCCTCTGAAAAGTGCTTGAGTAAATAAATATCCTAAAACAGCTGGTAAATCAGAGAACCTGAGGTGCCCTTTCCTCCCTCCTCAAGCAGTCCCTGGCAGCGCCACACATCAATACTCCTTCATTTGAGCATCATTTCCAAGCCAAATAACTTCTCTCTCCCACTGGTTCTTCCTGCAGGCAGACTTGGCAATGCAAGAAGCCTGTTTCCTCCTGCAATGCCTCGCTTGGCACAAATGGAGAGAGAGAAAGTGGAGGGCTTTGAACTGATTATGTAAGTGCACAGGTCTGGGCTGCTACACACACACACACACACACACACACACACACACACACACACACACACACACAGAGACAAATGAGGAAAAATAGTTTTGAGAGTTTGTTTTGGGATAAGGACAAGTACAATTATTTATTACACAGGTACAAATGTAGATAGTCTTTAATTTTGTCAAAAACAATCCAACGAATTCAGGGATTTTATTACTTGTAGCTTTGATGCACAATTTTGACCACTGGAGGGAAGAATATTTCCAAACAATACCCATCTACTATTTGGTAATGACATTGACGAAGCTATCTCATTGGCTTACAATTTTATTCATTGTTTTTATAGCAATGACAATAAAGATATATTCTATTTTTTTGTTTACAAATCCTGCAGCAACAGATCACATAGAAATCTTATAATTCACTGTGTATTTATTTTATCCACTTGCTCCTGGATAACGGAGGTATCCAGGGGTCAGTCAATCAAAAGATAACATTGAATCATGGGAGTGATTTTCTCTGCCAGTTGTTTGTACTCAAGATGACCGGGCGTAGCCGAGGAAGAGAATATGTTTACTGACGATGTGTCGAAGTATCATTTACATGACGTTTTTATCACAGCAGGACAAACTGCAACAGTACCGTCGCTTTCAGTAGCAGCTCCAGTAGCAAAGGCTTTCTTTGACGTAACAGCCGATGTTTCCATGGCAACGATAAACATTTGTGTCTATCTAACAGACACGTCCCGTTACAACTTTCCTATTATGGATTTCTCTGGCTTTGAATGTTGGAAATATTTGAGGTAATGTAAGAACTCAGCAAAAAATATATATAATAACATAGACTTAGTCCATTCGTTTTATTCATTTTGAGATTTTTAGTGTCAAAATTCTACATATTGCACTTTTAACCCCAGGCACAGATTGTATAATTCCATAAATCCTGACAGACACTCATATAGGCATAAGACCACCAGGGTCAGAGGAGTTTCTTTCATATAAAGTTGAACTGCTTTATTTGTGCTATATTTGGTAACTGATGTTGTCTGGCTTTATTTATTTAACATTTAGATTATATTCACAGAAGTGACTTTTGAAGTCTAACACCACTAAACAGAAGTCAGACTGTAAAGAACATGAGATGGCAGCTTGTAAATATAAGCTAAAACAATACTGTCAACACTCGTAGTGCTGCTAAAGATATCAAACCAGCGAAGGCCTCTGTCCTCCCTCCCAAACAAACATTTTCAGAACCTGGTAGTGTTTGTGGCCTGAATCATTTTTTCTCTGATTCAGTCCAATTTTCACATGTCAGCAATTACATTTTTGGATAACGTTATCGTAGCAGATACTTCTCATGGCTAAAGCTGCAGAAATTATCACTTTTTATCAAGCTATCTCAACGCTTGGTTTAACGCCTTTGTTCCCCATGCATGCATTACCCTTTTGAGAGGCAGCAGTTATGATCAAACATACGGGCAGCTGTTGAGTTAATTCATGCAAACCTGTATTTGTATTAGATTAATTCGGCCAAGGTCAGACAAGACACAGTGTAAATGGCTGATAAATGTTCACTTTTGTGTTTACAGTCTTGCATATATTCTTTTTGCAGGTAAAGCCTACATCATTTCCATTTGCATACACTTCTGATATGCCAGAAAGAAGACATCACCTTTACTTGAAACTGTCAGACATGTACATTTCTTCAACCTCAGCAAATCACATACCCTTTTCAGCTCACAACATACACTTAGCTCCTCTCTTAATATAGATCTGCTGCTGTGAGAGTCTTACACGTATATGTGTTACAGCTACACTTGACCTGAAAGATGAATTTCCCTTTGATGGTAGACAGATTTAAATGAATACACAAAATTGCCAAGATGAGTGAATTCATCAAAATTCATACTAACAGGTACATAGATGTGAGTGTCCCTGGTCTCAGGTTTTTCCTGTCGACAAATTGACAGATAACAGAAAATTGGACTCACTCTCACACAAACACTTTGGCTGGACTCAAGGAGGCGAGGGCTTCACTGATACTAGAGATCCATGCCACAGAGATTATAGAGCAGATGTTGAACTGCTCTTAGGTTGAATAAAAGACGTCCATTTTTCAATTGTTGACTTAAAGGCTTTTTGTAGATTCACACTCAGAATTGGTTCATTGATGTAATGGTCAGATGCTCAAGATATTCAAGAAAATATCAAACAGGAAAAGCTAAATGTCAATATGTGATTTTTATCTTACACCACCTCTGCTAATCGAGCAGCAGGTATCAGGATGAAGCGGTCTACTGATAATAAAGCTGCAATGACTGTTTGTCAATCAAAAAAAACATCATAGGAAATTATTTCACAGCCCAAGGGCCGCATATTGACCAACGACTCATGAGTGTGACACACTGTATGATGAGAAACTAGCTTAACGTCTTTCACTCAGGGAAAAAAAAGCTTGTTTGCATAAGTTTGACAGATTATTTCTCAAGTAAAAAAAAAAACACAATCGCAATGCTAATTATTTTAGCATATTCATGGCAATTTCCATGTTGTGCTAGCATCAAGCTAATGAACTATTAGATGTGCATCCTGGCCCATCCATGTGAAATTGTTTCTTATCCGCCTGCATGATGGAGGTAACGTCACACCTCATATTTACATCATGTCAAAAACATGTTTTTCGTTACCATGGAAACAGCGGATGTTTCATCAAAGACCGCTGCATAAAGAAGCAGGAATTGCTAATGAAAGCTGCCGTACTGTTGTGGTATGTGCTGTTGTGATCAAACCATACTTTGATACGATGTAGGTAATCATATTTCGCCCGTTTGTCTGGACTACAGTAAACTTGGAGTTTGTTATTTTATACTTTGGTTTGTAATTTTGCCTTTTGGACAAAAAAATGAATCTGAAGATGTTTTTGTTTTCGTTCTTATTGAAATTCTTACACTGAAGGTTGCAGTGCTCTCACTACTCACTTCTCGACACAATCAGTCCATTATGTAAAAAGTGTAACTTAATTTATGTACAACTGTTGTAATTAAACAACTGATTCAATAACTGTTTGTTCTAGGCTTGGTAATTTTGATTGAACTGTTTTCCAACAAGGCAAACAGAACATCCCCGTCCTTTCATTGTGTATAAACCTCCTCTGGCTTGTCTCCTGTGAGTATGAAAGTGCTCAGTCATTTCTCAATGCATGCCAGCAGCAACCCTTACTCGCTCTTCCTTAATCCTGTCATACTCCTCTTCTGAAGCCTGAAGACCCGAGCACCTGAGCCAGTTTACGATGAATGATGAGCCCTCATCTCCATCGCCCCTGGACAGTCTTCTTTCAGTAAGAGGAGACTGGCTCTGAAAGGACTATTATCTCAGTGCTGCCTGCTGTACAGTCACAGTTGCCCACTGTGTGTGGGCTCGCTCCTGTCTGTCTGCATCTGCTGCCGTGTCTATCTGTTCCAGCCTGCTCGGGGGATCGCCTGTCAAACTGACTGGCTGTAGACGGTCCTGGCTCAGCTGGTGCATCTGGCACTGCTGCAGTAAACATTGACTGCTGGGTTGTTTCCCCCTGCTCGGTTACAAACACAATAAAAGGTTTGGTGCAATATGATATCATCCTAGAGCAACGACATATCAGTTTAATGTTGCATTCGAAAGAGAAGACAATATGTAATGATGTGGGCCAAACAGAATAACAATTTGAATCAGTTTTCATATTCTGTCTTTTTTTTAGTATGAAAATCTTTTTTTAAGCACAAAGCCTCAGCCAGCGTTTAGTCCTATTCGACAGCATTCACACCAGCAGACTATAAGCACCCAAAGTGCACATATAGTCTCTTATTTCCAGAGGTACATCTATGTGGAAGTGTCCTAAACCAGCATTCTCTTTGATGGTCAGCAGGGGGCGACTCCACTCGTTAGAAAATATGTCTGATTGCATAGTTGTCTAGAGCCCATGAGTTTACATGTCACAATGTTCAGTAAACATTTCCTTAATCAGTTCGTGGTTTCAATCTCTTCAAGTCCTCCTCAACACAGCATTTTGCTAATCACGGTCCTGTTAAGACTCCTAAATACTATAAAGCAGGATGTAGGTTATGGTTTTACGTTTGACAAATGCTGGCTTAAAAATGTTTTTCTGTTGTGTATTGTTGGCTAAACACAATTTAGCATTGTCCATACTGTGCTAGCATCAAGCTAATGAAAGTTGAAGATGTGCATCTTGGTTCAATACCAGAGGAGAATAATGAATCAGCCATCACTGAAGCTTAGCACTGATGTTGAGTACCGTTCAAACTTATTAAGGCCACGTTTATACAAAAACGATCCACTGAAAATGTATCGTTTTTAATTCCAAAAACAGCCAAGCACACAGGTGGTATACATGCCAGACCAGTAGTTGGTGGTCTGACCATGTAATGAAACAACATGCGCATATACTCTCACTAGCAGTTAGGTGTAAAGTGATAAAAAATAAAAATAAATAACACCTGAAACGTTTGTGTGGACAGACTATGAAGTGGTGGCGCTTCTTCTAAATTACAAACAGAGTACATTTCAGCAAAATGTTGACTGGGAGTCATGACAGTCAACATTTCACAAACAGACAAACACCTACCTGCATATTCCCAATTTACAAGGTGATGAAGACGGTGTTTTTAAAAGTTTGCACTCTGGAACCCCTTTTCAAAACTTCAGTCACCCAAAACGCGGTTGTCATGTTAACAAACGGCCAAAACGTGACAAAAGGTTTCCATTTTTAGCTGAAATCATTTAACTAAGAATATAACCTCAACAATGGACTTGCTCTTACTCTTGGGTAGTGTTAGTCCTTTGTTTGGTTGTTGTTTCTACTTGTTTTTGTATGCATTTTAATAAGTCTTAACGTCCAGTCATGATGGTATTAAAAAAGATAGATGAAGTCTTTACATTAACATCTTGCAACCAGCATAAAGTCGGGTTGTAAATAAAACAGATCTTTTGTACTGTTTGAATAAAGTCGCTCAACAAAGAAGTCGTGGATGTTAGCTTTAAACCCTGATGTCTGAAAGCGAGAGTGAAGTACTTGACTCTCGAGAATGAAATGAAAAGAGAAGTTCATAGGCAGATGTTAGAGAACTTGTAGAGACTCATTTTAAACTCAATTTGATTCTTATTTCAAAGACAAATGGACGAGAGAGAAGGGAAAACAGAAGAGAAGAAGAGAGTGAGTTGAGATGGTAAAATGACGACAGAAAGGATTAAAAAAAAGGAACAAAACAGAAGATGGAGGAGAAGATGGTTTACGTCAGAGATGTGAGAGATAGTTAGAGAGAAAGTTCGACACAAACTCGACTGAAAACCGAGACAGAAGGGACCCCAAAAATTGGCCAGCCTTTTTTAAGGATGAAAGGCGCTGCTCCCTACGCTCGTACACATGCAAGTGCAAACTGCCGTGGTCAAAAGGCTCGGTCTGGTTTGAAGTATACTTTAAACAACAAACTGTCAGGGGACGGAGAGCGAGAAGGAGGCAGAGACACAGAAGGGGACCGCTGGAGCCACAGAGGAACATAAAGGAGGGCGTGGGAAGAGGTGGACACAAATATAATGATGAAAAAATGCTGCAAGACGGAGAGAGAGGCGAATCAGGGACACAGATAAAAGCCTCATGAAAGCACACTGTATATTCTTTATGAAAAACAGACATTATTGTATGTGTTAAAGCGACATAATATCCTGTAAAGAAATCAAATCTCTCATAAAAGGCTTTAAGCTATACAGACACAGTGCAGCAGGAGGTCGTGCAAAAAATATATTTATAGGATATAATGATACCACCAAGTACGATAAGATCACACTGCTGAGGATATATAAGCAGAATAATAAAAGGCTTTACCATCTGTTCTATCTTCAGCCTGCGTTTTATCAGTAACTCAGCTATATTATCACGCTGCTGTAAAAAAAGAGCAGCAAACGTGACCAAAGCTGCGGTGGATCGGTAAAGGTATTGAGCTCCGAACGTAATTATAAAACATAAGGTTGGCCTTTAGCTGATGTCTGGTGTTCTTTATAGTCCTCTAAATCCCATAAATACAAGAACAACTTTTCCTAATTGCTTCATAAAAACATGTTTGGGATCAAAGGTACAATTTAGAAGAAGGACGCGGCAATTATGAACCTCATCTACCCAAAAACATCAACTTCTTATTACCTGCTCTAATCTAACCTTGCTGCCACCTCACAAAAATAAGCCAGCAGTTTAGAGATTCCATTCATCTGGAAAATTACATCTGCACTTTAATAAGTCCTGTAGCCACAGCCCCTTAGCGTCAGTAGGCCATCATCCTATTGTATGTGTGTGAAATGTTTAAACATGTTAAACGGGTTAATTGCTTTTCGCACCATAGTTCCATGAAAATTCATCTAGCTTCAAGACTGAACTTGGGTATGACAGTATTCAGTGGATGTTTGCCGAAGTGGAGTTCACGACATGTGAGGGAGTAGAGTAATACCCTGTGAGCGATCACTGTTGTCACTGTTGTTTCATGTGTAGTCCATGGTGTTGATGTGACTGTCATAATGTCACAGAGTTATTGATTTTGTCATTGTTACAATACCGGCGCTAGGCCTGGCTAGATGAGCGGGGATGAGATGCAGAGTGTAGGTGAGTGTGCAGGTTTCAGGCTGGACCTAAACAGAGGAGCTGGTATGGTGGTTAACCGGGCCGATGTTCACGTTAGTCCCTGCAGGAGGCTGGCTCTTCACCTGCCAACTTCCAGGGTAATAATAAAAGTCTATTTTCTTCAAATCTATGTTTAAAAAATAAAAAGATCTGGGACACTGTCGTCGTCATGGCACTATTTCTTCTTCTCTTATTAACGTCTGCTTCGCTGGTTATTCACCCACAACAACCCGCCACCTTCAGTCAGTCCAGCTAATGAACGAAGAGTGAGGACAGTGTGTGAAAATAGGCCAACAAACTATGCAGGGGCTCTCCCTATAGGCTAATAGTGTCAAGCAAAATCGCATGGCCACAACATCATGCACTGACAACCGACTGAGGCCTCAGACTGTTTCTGTATGAGATTTAATATTATGTCATAATGCAGTCATAAATAATTCATTTGGATATATCACACCATAAATCATATCATACGGCCTGCCATCTGACGCTGGGACTCGTTTTGTGTATCAGGCCCTGAGCATGTTAATGCATGCTGACTCATGTTTTGCCTATTGGCCCCTCTATGAGTATGAGTTGCAGGTTTATGTTTCTGAAATGTGTAGATGCTGCTGTGTGTTTAGTGAGCTACGATCCTTCACTTTTCACTGGTCAGACATTAGCTCGCCTCCTGCTTACCACGCTTCAGCTACATCACCAATTTACACACACACACACACACACACACATTTATCTATGAGGACACACGTCCAGCTTGGCTCTATCTAGGTCAGACTCCAGCTCAGTGATGTTTACCACTCAACTGCTACACACAGACGGACATGCTCAATCACAGACTCAGTCAGCTCCCGTCTGATAAATACATGGACACACACACACACACACACACACACACACACACACACACACACACACACACACACACACAGATAGCTTTTGTCTTTACACACCCTCGTGCTTTATCAGAAAATAAAAGACAGATTTCTGGGTATATTGATGGTTTCCCCACGGCATAATTGCGGACTACATCACAGTTGATGGGGGGCTGGAGAGAGATGACGGGGCTTTCTGGAGTGCAGGGAAAAAAAAGAAAAGAGAAACACCCTGACATTTCTCTGCTCTTTGTGAGCCTTCAAGCCTGCAGCATCTCTGCCACTCCACGGCTGAGACAACATCAGCAAAGGGCAAACAGCAGCGTAAGAGCACTGTTCCAGGACCTTGTATTGCTGATGAACTCTCCTATCTTTCAAATCCGGTCATGGCCCATTGTTATTTCTGTCAGAGTAACCCTTTTTTTTCCTCCTGTTGCCTTATATTCTTAACTAAAGCAAACATATGTGGACCGAGTGTCATTCTGAGATTGCCAACATTGTAATAAAAATCAATAGTTGAAATACAAGCTTCAGGGCTTTTCAATATCTCCGTCTCCATGAAACAATCATGGCAGAATGGGATACAAAGAGCGGAATACGATCTAGTGAGATAGAAGAGGTTTGTTTTGATCACAGTACACCATCAGTTACAAAGAGTTGAAGTCAGATCTTTTGGGTTTCTCTCCGAGCCTTTGAACCCACTTCGACGATCATAAGTGCTGCATTCAAGTGTCGGGCCAAACACTGCGTGGAAAACAGCGGGTACACAGGTCAACAAGAGTTTCACGTTAGAGAGAAGGAGCTGCTGTATCAGTGTTGAGCTACAGCTACCCACACATACGAACACAATTTTAAAGCAACATTATTATATGCAAGATTTCCTGTACAAAAATAACCTTACAAGTGTTACAATATATTGATGAGGAGCACAGCTTTCACTGCATAATTATACACTACACAATGATATGAGATATCACAGGATGCTACACAAAGACACTAGTTTCATAAGAACAGGGGTACAAGTAGCAGAGATCCTGATTGATTTCAAGTAAACAGATGGACAGATTTATATCTAAAACTGTATAAAATGATTTGATTATATATAAATGTAATTCATGGCCAATATAAAGTCTAAAAGGCTCACAATTAAAGGGGTTATGTCTATATGAAGAAATAAATAAACCGTGGCACACTTGAAAATGATCTTTACTGTCACTTTATTGTGAGCAAACAATGCGCTTCATCTGTCTCCCTGCTCATTGCCTGCACTAGCCCACACTCATAGGCGTCATCAATGACGGAGTTTATGCTGTGAGTTTGTGGTTGGTGAGTAGTTTTAAAAAATATATATTTTGGGGTTTTTATTGGAGAGATGCGACAGCGGATAGAGTCAGAAATCAAGGAAAGAGAGAGTGGGGAATCACATGCAGGAAAGGAGCCACAGGTTGGATTTGAACCTGGGCGCC